AGTAGAGGAAGGATTTTCTGACAGCTCTTAGGATGCCCACAGCACTCTTTGCGGTTTTGCCGCAGTGATTTGAAGGTTTGAATGTGAGCGTAATATGTACACCTAAATTCCTATTTTAGTTAACTTGCCCGACTTGGGTACCTCCGATGAAGTAGTCATACTCAAATTGTATCTCCTTTCAGCAAATAAAATGTAGGCGGATGACTGGGCATTTGTTGAAATTGAGCTGTAGTAGCCAATTTTTACACAACTTTTGCAAGCAATCCATGTCATTGTATAGGGTCTGCCTATCCTCTGAGTATTTGATCCTGTGACAAATTCTCAGATCCTTCACAAACATGACTTTCTGACAGGTGAGGCTTTCGAAGCATCCGGTCACACATCCGTTGTTTTTGCCGCAATTAACGCTGACATTCGTTTATATGTAGAGGCTGGTGCTGTACTACACACCCACATGATTATACTAACAGTACACATTCCTTTTCTGCGGCCATCTGTCAGCGACCCACACAGGGAGATTATTGGGCCGATTATGCCTCTGAAGTTAAGTTCGCGTCCATTTTTGATATGTCACTTTCTAGCGTCGCAACAACGTTTATCAATTATGTGTATACTGGTCGGTTGGCTATGCCCTTGTGAAGATGTCGATCAACAGAGGGTAGATTTGCACGCACCGACGATGTTGAAGAAGGTTCGGTGGTGTCAGACAACAACCCGGTTCCACAAAGATCTTGTAGATACTAAAAGGCCAAAAAAGATCTGTAGGCATACTTCGTTGAATATTCTTCATGCATTCTCATAAAAGCCATCTTAAGTTTCAGATTAAGAGACCGATTATCTTTGCGCAGATCGAAAATTCTCTGTGTTCATTCAACGTCCGGCCACTTCGCAGGAAAAAGGAGTTGCCGAGGTGCCTGCTTAAATATTATAACTCTTTGGATAAGGATGAGCGCTGCATACTTTTCCGCGGAAGTCGAACTTTATGGAGCAATATTTAGCTAAACGTCGGTAGTAGAAAATATAAAATATTAACGTGTCTAGTGCTAGTGCTACCATCTATAAAAGACATTCGCCTAATTATTGTACACAAATTCTTAGAAGATCATACATTACTAACATACATAGTTGAGCTATAGGAACATGGAGACCCCTGAAGTAATTAATGTAAATGACTTTGCGTTCAATACCATAAGAATTCCTATTTTCTTATTATAAATCTGGAAGTCGCCTTCCTCACCCTGACTCTAACATCAACAGTTATATTTATCGGTCCACTTTCGCTCTAGCTGCCGTTATGCATGTCTTTATGAGCTTACTTGCATTGGTTTAGTACGTTCGATTTGTTCCTTAAATCAGAACCAAGGACAATAATTAGACATGTGACACCGTTTTAAAAAGGGAGGGGATTAAAATATAAAGAGAACACTTTACTTTGCCAGTAAGACACTCTATGCAACAAGACACACACTGGAATCACAACGGGGTCCCATCAGATCACAACCCTCCGAATTACAGATTTTAGCGCACTTTGGTAGCTTCAAGCGCGTCAGATTGCTTTAAGTAAGGAATGAAATGCGCGAAGAGCCGAAGGTAAGGATCTATAGTGAGGTACCCACAGTGCGAGGGAAGCGCGCTCCACTCCAATACAGACACCCGGATTTGGGGAAAAGAATGGTTGTGCGCATGGGGGAACAATTATGTGCGCAATAATTATGTAAAGTAAAAAAAAGTAAAAGCGGTAATTTGGGGGGACGTGTCCTTACCTCGGGCGGGGACGCTGGAATTCATGTTAATATTACCACTAACCCCTACTGGACCAACGGCGAGAGCGTGCATGCTGAGGCGGGG